TTCCCCAACTCAGTCTTTGCCTCAGTCTTACACGTACACGAATCCCGAATCAGTTCGATTTCGATTTCAGGTGTTGGCCATGATTTGGTGGCGTTTTAAGCGCGACTTGAAGAAACTGATGTTGGCGAAGGTGTCGCGAAAATAGATGCGATCGAAGTGGCAAGTTCTGCGCTGATCGACGTGTGAACACATTGCACCAGTTGGTGGTACCTCCGGCTGCTCCCTATATAGATACATAGATACTTAATCCGAGCTTAGCACTAAATACACTTAAGCACGTTTACGATTCTAAACTTTATAATATTTTAGATTTTAAATTTTATTTTTGGTTACGGGTCGTTTGAACACATTTGTGGTATGATGCGAATATTTAGCTTTCAGCTTCTACATATATCTGCACAGTCCTGGCGAGGAGGCTCTGCCTTTTGGTTTTTTTTTGGTTTTTTGGTCCACGGAACGCGGCTGTGCCATGAGACATGACCTGCCCAACGCGCTAACATCCCGAGTCAGGACTGAAACGGCTCGCTGCCAGTTCCCTTCGATTTCAGCCAAATGCCACAAGCAGCACAGCTGCAGTCGAAGTCGAAGCTTGCGCTGTCGCTGACGCCATCGCTGGCGCCGGCAGCACTGCCCTCTGAGCTCAGACAGTAAACCAGAGGGGGCCTTGAAGGGGGGATTTCCATTGCTATTGGCACTTGCACTTGGCATGAACTGAACTCGCCCAATGCAAAACAATAGCAACACGGGGCCAGCAGGGGCAGGGGCACCACCAGCAGCAGCAGAGACGCAGCAGAGCTGCAAGGGCGTCTCTTTTCAGTTCGGAACACATCGGCTTGGGTTCTCCACTTCTGTGGGGATGAACTGGGGGTGGCTTTGTGGCCAAGCTGCACAGAAAACCCAAAACATGTTGACTAAGGTCGGGTAGAGGATTAGGTTGGTCGGGGGAAAGGATGATAATGAGGAAGTCCATATATCATAAAGGTTATGCAGGGTATACATTACTGGTCATCTTACTCAGAGCCTGATCTATGATTATTTAAAAATAATGTAATTATTCTCCCATGCACCTTGCACTTTTTCCAGTGCATTGCAGACTTGCCGCAACTCTCACTGCACACACACTCTCCGGCTGCATTCTCAAGACTCTCTCCGCAAGTATTCGCAACGCATGCTCGGTCTTCCCGGGGGGTTGAATGAGTGAGTGCCTCGCCAATTCGATTGCATATTGACCATTGACAATGAACTAGAGCAGAAGCCGGAAGTCTCGCTGCCAGGGACATTATGCAAAACTATTCGGCTTGAAGTCACTTCGGTGAACCCCAAGTTCTAAGCTCTATGAACTAAGCCGCCCTCGGCAAAAGTCATCGCGGTACGCCAGGCACGTTTGGTTTTTTTTAATGGCTGGCGACATAAAACTGTAAAGCCGAAAAGTATTAGGTGGAGTACAGCCGGTATATGTACCGTTAGGTTAATAAAAACCCATTTTGTCATAGTCAAGTTACGAGTTGGTTAAGTTTCGGAGGAAAAGGCAGGTGGGGGGATCATCAAGTGACGATGATTACGTATTCATGGCGCGTAAATGAACATAATTTGATTTTCAGTTTTATTAGCTTTTGGGAAGGGGACTGAAGAGTCATGGTTTTGGCCATCCCCCCATTAATATATATCATAGAATATATATTAATAATCCTTTTATTTAATCCTTGAGCTTCCCTTTTTTGACTTTGAAACCTCAATGTCACCGACCGCCATAACATTGTAGGCATTTACAGCTAAGGCCGATAGTGTCAACATCAACAACAACAACAAAAAGCCAACAACATTGACACAGAACCTGTCGCTGTTGCAAAGTTCAACGTCAAACGAGGCTTCGGGTATCGCAACCTCGGCTTCGGTTGGGAACTCGGCGCATGCGCTTATGCTCTCGGCTTTGGCTTCGGCTTCGTGTCTTGCACTACCACTCTCTTCCTCTTCAGCTCTCTTTCTACCTGTCCAGGTAACTACATATGTATGTGTGTGTGTGTGTGCTTTGGTTATAACGCGCTTGAGTAGGTCGGTCATTGAACTTGTTTTCTTTTCATCTGCGCTACCGCCGCTGCTGCTTCTTGCGCTTCATTCTTGTGCTTGGCCACACTTTCTTCCTGGTTTGCTGCCTCTCTTTCGCTCTCTTTTTTGTACCTGCCAGCCACCTGTGCGTTGGCGTGCCAGCTCCCTCGCTCCATCTCTCTCTCTCTTTTCCTGTGCTCTCTTAAGTTTTCAAGTTGGGAGGCTGCCGCGGATGACTTGGCAGGTCTTCTTCTTGTGCGTGGCAAGTGGCCAAGGTAGCAACAATTCTAATTGCTGGCTGAGGGGATTCCGGGGTCCCAGGGAGGGCAGCAGTGGATGCAGCTCCAGCTCCAGCAGAAAGCAAAAGGCAAGAAGAACCGCCCAAGGTAAGACCGCGAGCGAGTCAATAACCCTGGCTTGGAAAAAAAAAGAACGTTGGCCAAGAGTAAGAGTGATTTGATTCCCTTTTCATCAGGCCTTAGAAGTGGCAGAAGAACCAGCACAAAGTGCACTGGGGGAAATGAGAGGTTTAAGCCTGGTTTAAGATATTTGGGGCTTGTTTTTGGTAAGAAAGAGGTTCTAGGAAGTTTATTATAAAAATAGACTTGCTAGAATAGAATAGAATAGATAATGTTCTAACCATCTTCACTAAAGAACTTGAATTTAATTTAATTTCTACTGAATTTTTTCAATAAAATATTTGTTACAATTCATCTATTTCCCAGTGCACTGACTGAAGAACTGGCTGGAGAGCAAGAACCTTTGGATACTTGGCGGGCTGTGCCTTGGTTCAGTTGAGCACGCCATGTGCCCATGAGCATTTGCCAGTTGAACGCCCTTTTCACGGCAAATGATTCTCGATGTGCGACGCCTGAACCAGAAGTGGGGGACACACCAAGCGGCAGGAGAGGCAGCAAGCACAGATAGAAGAGGAGCTGGTTGGCTGCAACCTGCCCCAAACCGAAACTCAAACCCAAGCCCTTGGCCCAAGGATGAACCACCGATCAGATCTGAACTGGTTTCCCCTTCTGGTCATTGGCTTCTTTGGCTTTGGATTCTCCATCGCCCCGCCCCCCTCGCCGGCTCCTGAGCTCCTCTTCTAGCTGATGCGGCAGATTCACTTTTTGCAGGCGGGGGGATTCTCTAATTCTTGGCCTAGGTCCTTGGCCTCGCACAGCCTCGCCGCGCCTCGCACGGGCTTGAAATGAAAACGAAAACCGAACGGAGGCAAGTTTGTTGCCTAAGTCATTTGTTTGGCGTGCCGTGTTTGGTGGTGTGTGCCGAGGGGGGCGTGTGACTGGCTGACAGTCAATGAACTCTCCGCATGCGTGCCAAAAAAAAGTGATAGAAACAACAACAACAAGACCAGTGGCAGAAGATAAGCCAGTAGAGGAATCAAAAGAATTGCTTTTGGCTCATTTAAATTGCAAAATAAAGCAAGCTGTTTCCGAGCTCTCTATCGAGGCGAAGGAGGTGTAGTATGATACAAAATATAAAGAGTGATATATGTATAACTCATTTCGTATGCGATTCGGAATCGACAGCTCTGGGGGAGCAGGTGGCCGGCCTACCAGCCGTCCGCCTCCCATCATCTACCCTATGGACTTGAACAGCTGCAGCAGCTAATGACCTTGATATTGAAATTATCTTGACATTACAAATTCGCAATGGATTTTAATCAGATTGGTTTTTATAGCCAATGCTTCTGTTCATTCATCTCGTCTCGTTTGGTTTCGTTTCGTTTCGATTTCATTTTCAATTTATTTGTTTATACAATATTTTATTGCCGCCGCCTGTTGGAGCGTGTTAGCGTGCGATCGCAGTTGTCGAGTCATTTAAAGTCAAAGTCAAGGTTTTTCTGCCTTACGTCGCCAATTATCTCCTGCCATCTCGCTCCACCGCCTGCCACCTCCGCCCCAGCCCTATAGCGCCCTCTCTGTTCCTCTTTTGGCGTGTTTACCCCCGTTTTTGTTGTTTTTGCGATTTGTTTAAGCCCAAACTGGTTTTGTCTAATTATTTGTGTGTTGTGAGTGTTATATTGTTGTTTTTGCTGATGTGCTTATTAAAATATATATCTTTATATACCTATATACTATATAGTATAGTATATGTGTAAGGTAAGGGTTATCCAGGAGAGAGGGGCATGGGATTTTTCTAATGAAATGCCAGTTCCCATCGCTCGCCCATTTGTGGCCAAGAAGTTTTAGCTGCTTATGCCATTTTTCTAGCCTGTCTGTAATTAATCATTTTACTTTTTTTTTTTATTGGCAGTTTGGGCTTTTTTGGCTGGAAACGTGTTTTTGCCGACTTATTATATAACATTTCTATTGAAAAATTACGATTAGCATAAGTCTGTACGTGAAAGTCTTCATCGAGACCTTCAGTATGTTGGTTCTGGCTGAATGCTGTGTAACATCATGGTTAAAATTAAACGCTGGTCATAAATTATGGTGTTTTTGGGTGGAGAAAAAGTTGAAAATCAGGAATAGAACTTAACAGTAAAAGAAGCAATTAAGATGTCAATAAAAAAAAGTTTCAATAAAGAAAAATTATCAGAGAATAAATTAAAGAAGTTATAAAAAGAGTGCTGACTGGAAATTAGAAATGAACTAAGAATCGATTAGAAATGATTTAATGCCAAATTGATGCGATGATTTGTTATAATATATTTAAGAATATACTAAAAGTTTCCACCTCCAAAGAGGTGGTCTTCAAAGAACCCGAAAATCGCGCCCAAACATATTTCCTGAAACTTCCCCAAGCGACCCAATGTCTGTTGGAGAAAGCTTTCTTTACAGAACTTTCGGGAATCTCAAAAATCAGGCCAAAAAATATCTGTTCATATGATTCTATCATGAGAACCCTACATTAACTTGTCGACTATATAACTTATGACTACAAAAAAAAGGAAAAACAGGTGGTGCATTTGAAATAAATCAATTGGAAATACTCACCATGATCAGTTTTTAAATGCATATCCGTTCCGTGTTGGCTTTTGTGGTTACTGCCGTTGAAGTAGCTGCTAATGCTGTGGCTATATTTAAATCCATTACGCAATAAATCCAATCCAATGTGCCGAAATGTGCCGAGTTTCAATTATGATGGACGACACTTTGTTATTCTTGAATTTCTGTACGAGTATATTGATATCATACTCTATCAAAAGATTTCATACACAAATGCACTGTTGGTTGTGGGAATTGAACTAATTTTTGCTTAGGTTTAGTGGAAAATTTGCATTAATTGTGAGGGGCAGGCAGTCTTATCTCGATGTCACTTGTTCTAAAATTTGCACCTGAATTTCTATGATTTATTAGAATGCAACACAAAACACTTTATAGGGGGTGGTGGCTGTTGGTGGTGATATAACTTTTTTTTTTGATCAATTTTAGAATATTGTCTGATGGATTTTTGTAAAGTCTCTGCGCGTGCGTCTTACGAAATCATGTCTCGATCGTTTTGTTGCTTACGGGAAACTGAAACTACGGATGAGTCGCGGTGCGACTTCAATGTCGATGTCGTTAGAGGCTTCTGAAGGCGGTGGCAGCGGCGGTGGCAGAGCCCCGGCAGAGCAGCGGCCGAGCAGACAGATAGACTTTTCAGCATTTCATTACACGGCCAACACACTCTCTGTCGCTGCTTTCTTTCTCTTCAAGCGCACACACAGACACAGATACTCTAACACACAGATACATGGAGAGGAGCTCAGGTGTCTCAGGTTCTCGATCTCGATCTCTTTCTCCCGCTCTCTCGCACGACGAGCGCGCAACAGGCCAGAACTTTCATTCAAGGTGAGCGCGCGGGCGCAGGTATCTCTTTGGCATTGGAACGAACACCACCAGCTCGGCACCACAGATACAGATACACGTACTATGGAATACCGATGCAAATACCCTCGGCTCGACTTGCTCTTTTTCGCACAAAATACAACAAAAAAAAAATAGTTCTAAACGCGTCTAACACATGAGCGGCAATTGAGCATGGGAGCGTAAAATTACAACACCACTTTTTTGTAATTTTTCCCGTGGACTCTTCTAACAAGTTTAGAATCCGCGCAAGCCAAGCGCAACCGAAGCGGTGCCCGGGCCACTTGTTCTCGATTCTCTTAACCCGTTTCTGATCGCCCTCTCTGGTATCGCCACTCTAGTATCTCTGTTGACCAGGCAGGCGGCGAGCGAGCCAGGTTCTCTGGCCAGTCTCTTGGCCAGAAGTTTGGCACGGCATGTAATTGGCTTGCTCATGATTTGTTTCTGTTTCGGTTTTGTTTACTCGCTTCCTTTTGTCATTTGTATGTGGTTATTGTTATTTTTGTTACTGTTATTGTTGTTGGTATATTGTAATTGTTATTATTGTTTTTTGGATATCAAATTTCATGGTGCTATAATTGCATCTGAACAATTGGCAAACAAATGTGGCAGTGAAAAAAAAGGGGAAGTGACGAGAAAGCTTTTTTTCGCACTTTACAAGGTTATACACGATGGATTACTTAATTTGGCCCATTTGGGTTGTTAAATATACTTTTTATGTATTAAAAGGTATTATTAAAAGATGATATAATGGGTATTATCTTATTCAGTTTTTGGGAAACTCCCCTAATCATAGTTAAGAGCTATTTAGAACATCCTTTATAATCAGTGTCGTTGGCATTTCATGTTGGTGATGAACAAACTGCATTATAATTCATAGTTATATATGCCTATAACAATTTTTAAATATTTTCTATTAATTTTGCAATAAAATTTAAATTTATTCAATATTAATTTCCTCTAAATATACAACCAAACCTTAAAAGTAAAAGTAAAACTTCATAAAGTTCTTAAAACAAAATAATAATCAAACTTAAGTACCAGTCATTGTATGACTCAAACTCTTAGCGATTCATGATCTAATCGAAATCGATAAAACCGCGCTATAAATAGTGTGTAAAGCACTTACCGGCAAATAAAATTTGACTTGATAGAAACTTCCTCTTGGAGTCATAAAAACAAACAGCAAATAATCTGGGAGGGAAACTTTTAAGCTAAAAAATTATAGTGGCGTAGCACAAAAGACTTTAACGAAAACTAATTGAAAACCGGGCATTTACATAACTTAAATGTAATTAAGACGGGGCGAGTGTGCTGCCACGGGGGGCAATCAATATTTGAGAGCCGACCGGCATATGATCAACCTTGAACTTTACGCTTGACGCTTAAAAGACAAACGCCCCGAGGACTGTGCGAATCAAAAGGCAAATCCCCGCATCCGTTTTCGGCCAAGGGAACAAAAAAGCCTAGCAAACTCATTAGTTTTATGCCACAGTCTACTGGCCGCTGCCATCATTCGCTATAAATAACAATTGAAGCAGGCAAAAGGCCCAAAGAATAAGTCTGGCACCTGGGATTAGAACCTTCTTTGTTCGGCCATTAGAACTTATTTGGCTGAAAGCAAAATCTCGGCACGATGGGGTCAACAAATTCTTAAACACCATGGCATGGGCATAATTTTGATAGTTAAATACATCATCACTCATTTGTCCCAAGAGTGGTAGGTAAGAATTTTGTAGACATTGAAAAAATAAAAGTGCTTTAGTGTATGGCTTAAATGTCCAATAAATCACAGAGATTATGCAAAGAAAGATGGCCTAAACCAGCAGAATAAATACTAGTTGCCAAGGCAGATGAAATCAAAATAAAAAGCCTATACACATATTTGTTTTAAGGTGGGCTCGGACTTGACCATGAAACAAAAAACTTTCTAATACAAAAAAATAAATTCGCATAATTTATAGTTTCTTAAATTTCAGATTGCATCATTAGTTTAAAATCCCCTCCAGAAAGGAAAGAACTTTCAACTAATCGAAATAAACAAAAGTGATTTGGAAGAAGATTTTAGCATAAAACTATTGCGTCTTAGGAAATGGAATCTCGATTAACAACACGTTCCTTCTATTCCGAGCCATAATTGAAAGTAAAGAAAAGAAAAAAAGTGGAAGCATCTCTTTTAAATAAATATGAATTCGTTTAGGCTGAAAGCAAAAACCTTTTTGGCAACAACAAGTGCGTTTTAGGCGCGACCACCATCAAAAAATTGTGGTTGTTGTGTTATTTAACACCCAAAACACATACCCCAACATATAGAGATGGGTTTTTTTTTTTTTGGGGGAAGAGAGCGAAAGATATACGGGCGTATGCGTAGGCCCGAAAAGCCGGCATCTACAGCTGGCCCCGGCTTCTTGGCCAACTCATCATCATCATCCCGCTTTCGGTGGCTCGTTCTCGCGCTCCCCATTGCCGTCTCTTTCTGCCACATTTTTGGGCGCAACAATCATTTCTTTTCTTTACATTTCATTTCGTTTTTTCGGTTAGCCAAGTTTATTTCAAGCTCACGCACACACGCAGCTCCGAGTTTTGGTTCGGGCTCGGACCTGGGCCCGGGCCCCGGCCAGGTTCAATGACTTCTTACCAAAAACGAAAAGCAACAACAACATTTAAGTCTTTCAGTTTCTGTTTCGGGCTCTGCCGACTTTTTATTTTTTTGGTGGTTCTTCTTCTGCGTGGTGGCTTTGTGTTCTTGTTGTTTTCGTTTTTTAAACATTTCGTTTTCATTGCTGGAGTTCATTGGCCAGCAGAACCAAAAAGAAGCTGCTTTCTGGCCGCACTTTTTGGCCAAGTAAATGATGGATGAAATGGAAGGGCCCCAGGAAATTTCCCACTAAAGTATATATATATATATATATTTTATTTATTACATTGAGGTTTTCGGTTTTATTTCAGATAAAAATAAAAAAAATACAAGAAATTCTTCCATTGCTGCTCTTCTGGATTTCATTTTGCATACTTCTTCGGCGAGTTTGTCGCTTAAGTCTTTTGTTGTTCGGGCGCTGTGATTGATTGCCGGGATAAAGCCATAATATTTCGTAAATTATTTTGCATGACACCACAACAAAAACTAGTTAATTTATTTTATTTGCACGCAATGACGGTGTTTGGTGCCAGAAATTCTGAGGTAGTTAAGAATAATTGGATACTGGGAGCTGAGGTTGCGCAACTCAATTCGATTGGCATTTCGCGATGATTAATTTCAGTTAATTATTACAATTATGCTTTATCCATACAGTGTTGAACATACAGCTTGGCTTAATCACTGCAACTAAAAATAAAGTTTAGTCTTAGCTTAGGAAAATTAATAGAACCAATCAAAGAATCTTATGGACTGATCAGGACTCCAGTCGCCAATCAATCTTAACCCAAATCTTTTCAAGTCTCTGATTGTTTGTTTATTTGACGGTGGTTTGCGTGGTCACTCAAGAAATTAAGGAGTTTGCCACAGTTTGCCACTTGTTGTCAGTTGCTACCACCAACAACAATAACAACAACAGTTACACCAACACCATCAACAACAGCAATCACAGATCTTGCCATCAATTACGACTTTGCTGTTGGCGAAAAAAAAAAATAGATTTTTGGCCTCCCCAGTGGGTAAGTAGTTCAACAGTTGCCGTTGTTGTTGCTCTTGCTGCTGATTATGTTGCAGCTGCTGTGGCTGTAGATGTTGTGAGAACTTGACTCTGAGCCCACGCCAATAGAACAGAAAAAGAACCAAGCTAAAGCTAACATGTACACGGAAAAAAAACATAGCCAGCAAGCCAAATCCCTAAGATTTTCCAATAAAAGTTTATAGAATCTATAAGCAATATTAGTCTTAAGTAAGGGCCAATAATTAGGCCAAATTTGGGCACTTGTTTTCTCAGTGTAGGGGCGCGAAAGGTGTTAAACTCACGCGCGAATTTTGCGGTAAAAGCTCTCACCGCACACAAACACATTTGCTGGATGGATAGACTTGAAAGATGGAGATAGAGTTGGGAATGGAGATGGAGAGACGCGGAGTCTCATTGATAGCCCGCCACTTGGCGGAGTCTCAGCTTCAGTCTTCCGTCTCCAGTCTTGGAGTCTTGGAACTGGCGGATTGTTGTTATCTATGTGCCAAACCTGATTTACTTCATGATTATGTTTGAAAAATTAGGTTAGGAGCAATGAACTTGCCATTCGTCAGAGGCTGGAATGGCAAAAGAATCGGCGACTGGAGACTTGAGACTTCTGAGAAGTCGGAGGAGAAACGAACGGGATGGACGACGGGGAGACAAAGTGAATGCTTTTCTCTGTTTGCCTGTCAGTCTGTGCCCGCCTGTCCGTCTGTTTGTCGTAGTAATAGACACCTGTACAGGTCAAATTGGTCGGCTGTCTAAGAACCATTCCGCTGGACGGATCGGTTGGACTTTTGATTGCTCCGAGTTGTGTCGGTGAATGCATGTATCCATGTTGCAAGGATCGAAAGGCGGCACCACTAGATGTGGATGTGAATTACTATTTGAACTTAACCGAAGCTGTCTTTTAATATATATAGACATATAGACGGGCACTTTAAATAGGTCATTTAATTGTTTAACCAAAGAGACCTTTAAACCATTGACTTCATTTTCTAATTGAAAAATTCCTCCCCAGGCCGTTAAGACTAGAAGATTAAACGAAAACCGC